ATTAATATTAGCACTCCTATTGTAAATGCAGGCGAACCCAGTGGGAAGAAATGACGATGTCTGACTCAATTCAGAAGGCTGGATTATTTCTTTATTATAACTATGCTAAAATACATTAATATACTATATAAAAAGAAGATAATAAAACTACATACTACTTTTTCTAACTCTAACTCCCACACAACTCGTGACCCTCTCTCTCAAGTCCAGACACAGGTAAATTAGATTGACCATCAAACTCAAACAATCTTCACCAAAATTCAATCAAGCACTCACTCCAAATAAACAATTCTCCAAACACATTCCACATAAAAAAAAAAAAAAACAAAGAGCAAAAATAAAAATTATTTTCTCTTCCATTTCTCTCTGTACACCTCTATAAAAAATCCTGAGAGGGAGAGAAATGTACTTACCACACACCCCAGAGTTGTGCTTTGCTGCAGGTACATACCACGTGTAGTACCAAATCCAGTGAGACCAGTGTATGCTACCAGTGCATATTCAGAGATGCTACTGGGGATCCACGCTGAACTTCAGTGGTCTGGCTGCAGCAGAGAATGTTTTCCACCCCCTTTCCACCGTGTGGAAATCATCATGTGGAATCCCTGGCACTCTCATACTTGCCTTCATCCAGGAAATTCTGTTGGGTTTCAGAAATGACAAGCATAAATTGGTGGTAGTTTATTAAATGAATGAAGACTTCTTATCCCGCGCAGAGCCGCCCGCCCGGTGCGCGCTGTCCGAAGGCGCCGCTGGATGGTGGAACGGGACCCCGCACGCTCCCGCAGCCGCCCCGCACTCCCAAACCCTTCCAAAAAGCAGCAGAGCAATCCTGCCGGAAGATTCACAGCTCTGCAGTACCGCTTAGACTTTTTATTCCAGCTGCATACATCATATTGTTTGTCCTTGATAGCGGATTGGTATTTTCTGGAACTCTCGGCAGCAGTTTCAGGGGCGCTCCGAGGCACGCAGCAGCATTGCCAGGGGAGGTCCCATGGCACCCAACACCTGCAGAGTGACAAACTATGGAAATTCAGCCACAGGATTAGTTTGTATTTCATTTTAAACTGTGATCCCATGTGCAAATCGCATTGCCTGGGAAGCAAGAGGCATTGCCTCTCTGGGCAGGGCTGTGTTCCCTCTTGCCCATTGGAAATGTGCACAGAAATGTGGGGGAAGGGGACACGACCACCTGCACTTCAGGGGCTTCTACAGGTATTGAGGAGAATAATGAGAATTTTTCCATGTGCAGTAGTAGAAAATTTAAATTCAAGGCAGCAAGGATACCAGTAATAGTTTAGAAATAACTACGCTGCTATGAGTAAATGAAAAAGAGGCAGTGTAAAATTACTAAATTTTTTTTTTAATGGTACAATATCTTGTAAAATCTAACTTGTGTTAGCCACAGAACTTAAAACCTGCTTGGATATGAAAGATGACTGGTACATGTGGTGAAATATGTCTCAAGGACTTTCAGCAAAGATCAAACACGTTAAACAGTGATTCCCAAAGTTCTGGAGTAAAGGCAGAGGTGTGCTACAGAAGTCAGGGAAAAGGAACAATATAAGTTAATGTTGTTATTAGAGAGCCAAAGAGAAATAAACTAAATAATAAATATACTTACAGGTCTAAAGAGGAAAAATTTAAAGCATCAGAGTGTACAAGAAAATAGAATTACAAGATACTTGAAAACATACAGACAACTAACAAAATGCAGATCATTACATGACAAGGAACTATCTGCAGACAGTAATATGGCAAGTAAACTTTATTTATTATGGGAGAAAGAAAAGCACTTTCTTTACCCAGTGTTCTGCCCTGCTGAATAGACAGTGCTGTGGACAGAGCAGTCCTGGGCAATGGTTCCTCCCCTGACACACAAGTATTAACTTAATCACACACTTTGGCTTTATCTGTAAACACAGAGCTCAGGATTTCCCTGAATTAATCCTTGTTTGGACTGCATAGGGGATTGGATGGGTGAAGAACACCATGAATCATCAGAGGTTTTTTTTCTACTGCTATCAAAAACAACACTATTGCAAATATTCTGAATTCCCTGTAAAACAACTTCCAGTGTTTGTCTTCTGCTGGAAACTTTTCGGAATCTCACACTTTATGTTCACTATAAATTATATTCTTTGATTACATGCAGGATCCTTTTTGTAAAACTGTCTCTTAGTATAAATCTCTGCCTTCCCTGCATCTACTCCCTTGTGCATTTCAAGCCAGAAGCAATACCTGTTAGTTACCCTTCATTTTGCTAAGCCATCCAAGTTCTTTCAGTCTTAGAAAATGAGATCTCTGTGACTCTTAATCATCCAGGTAGTTTGCATTAATCTTCCACAGGCATTAGTAAATGAGACCGTTGCACAATGCTTCAGGGGAAGCCCCCCTCTCCTCACTTGGGAGCACTTTGCTGTCTTTGTTGCACGCACATCTCTGGGACAGCCAGGAATCCCACTGGTCTCTCCCACAGCTTTGTCAGACACCATGAAACCAGACATATAGATGCCACAGATTTTGTCCTTTTTTTAACCTCCAAGGGATAGCACTCAGTATTCTGAGAAATAATTTTTTTTCCACTAATAATATTGATTTTCAGTTAAAGCGCAGTCAGGGACCTGTTTTCTAATTAAATAAATTATTACATGAGTTTTATATCCTTCTAGAGTCATCAAACAACAGGCCAAATACCTCACAGAACCTGAAACTACATTGCAGTGTCATATATTATCAGCCCAGTCTTTTGATCAGCCTAAGCATCAGCTGATTGGCAAAAACTGACTCCCAAATGACCCAGCAGCTTGACATGAACTGCATTGCTCTAATTTAATTCTCTGTCTGAGGGTTCTGCATCAGTCCCCCTACCTCTTTGCTTAGGAGCAGAGACAAATGGACAGCCTGTATTGCCAGAGCAGTCAGACATCTGATCTCAGCGTTTCAGAGATGACCCTCAATCACTGTCCACATGGAGAGAGCTCCTTTATCAGCCCTGTCCAAACCGGGGTTGCTGGGTATTGACAACTGAGAGAGAAGCTTTAGCAGATGTGACTCAGCACTCCCCTGAGCCCTGCTGGAGTGGGAAGGATTTATTACATGATTAGCATATTAATAGTCCTGCTTTTTTCCCAAATACAGAATGCAATACTGGTTGTTCTTGCTTAATCTTGTTGTTGTTGTTGTGAACTTTTTCAGTGCTCCTTCCAAATATAGAGTCTTTCTGCCTAAACCTTTCCTTGCAGAGACTTGATCCAGAATTGCTTTCAGGTTATGAAATTAGCAATTTGGAAGAACTACCTGCATTTAAAATGTTTGGTATCACTTTAGAATAAAATCCACAAGCATAAATGTTCCAAAATACTTTTAAACTCAGAGAAAAAGGGAAAAGATAAATTACATGGAGTGAAAAATTAAGAGCCTTTTCCAATTTTAAATTAATGAGCCCACAGCTAGAACATTGTATATCGTTCAGAATGCATCCGTACTGGACATCTGACATCTGAGAAGGCTTGAGGAAGAAAAAGCAAAGAAATCAGGACTGAGAGACTTTTTGAAAAATGCTTTAAATAATGAAATGATTTTACTTAATTGATAAGTGGAAAAGCAGAGTAATTGAATCAATGTCTATATGTATTTTTAGGGAGATACATTTCTTATAGGGTTTAAGTAGAATATGTAGAAGAAGGAAGACAGCAAAAATTACAGGGGCATATTGGATGAGAGGACATATTTACTTGGTTCATTTAGACTGAACTGAGTTTGTATATGCCACTTCTTTATTGAACAGATTTTATTTAACATGGAGGATGTCAAGAAAATGAGCAAATAGACATTTCACCTTTGTCTGTCCCTGGTTTTATACTCCTATTTTACTTCTTAAAGGCACTGGCTACCCAGGCAGTGAAGCTAACCAAGGTGGCTTGAACCCTCAGCACTGCTCATCTGGACAGTGGTGGATTTTCTGTGAGATGTATGTGCCATTTAACAAAGCGGTGAAAGCCAGGAAAGAGCCATCCTTTTCACAGCTTTAGCTTGTGCTCCCTCCAGGATCTGTAGCAGCAGGCAGATGTCAGCACCTCTCTTGGTCATTGCACAGAAAAAATTCAGCACACCAGCACCACCACAGCTGAGCACCCACCTGCTGCCCTGTGGGGGCTGCAGGTGCCCTTTGGCCCAAGCTGCTGCAGCCTCTAAACGCACCCAGGAGCTGGACCCAAAGCCAGCTCTTCACTGGCATCTCCTCAGCACCTTCTTCAAGGCTGCCTGGCAGCAGCAATGGCGCTCAGCTGGCACCCAGGGCCTTTGGCCAGGATCTGCTTGCAGATCTTGCTATAAGATGCCAGATCAGCTGGATCCTGCTGGAAGCAGCCACAGCCTCCCACAGCCACCCCAGAAGAAACTCCTACAGGATCTTGAATCAGAGCCAGGAAAATGTGGCAGTGAGCACTGTGCCCAAGGCCACCTTGGCTATCCATGGTCTCTGGCCAGGGAAGAGGGAAGAGGGCAGCTCCTTTGACAGTCCTCAAACCTTCTTCAGCATGAGTTTTAGCTCTTCACTTTTACTGATAATTAACATATCAGCAACAAAGTGCAGCCACAGAAAACAATTAAAGCTTAAACAGTCAATGGTAGCCAACGTGATTTTGGCAAGCACATAGACTGTGCCTTCTTTGCCATCACATCATCAATCTCAAGGTACAGCACATATGACTGTCCAAAGTGTGCTGGGTGGGGAGAGAGGAAGAGGAAGAAGTCACTGCTGCCTCACAGCACAAAATGGCCAGTGCTGTTTCCCCTTGTGACAGCCACTGCAGCATTTCCCCAGCCCCCAGACGAGGCCTGGGGCTGAAGAGCCCCAGCTGAGTGCCTGTGGGTGGGTCCATGCCCATCTCCAGGTGGGGGGTGTGGCAAGGGCTGCCCTTATAGGGATGAGCCAGGGATGCTGCAGCAGCTGGCTGCTGCTGGCCCTGGCTCCTGCTGGCTGCCTTGGTCTCCCCATGACTGTGGGCTTGAGGATGGACTTCAGCATGCTCCTGGAGCCTCTGGGCTTTATTAAGGTCCTTGAATGGGTGAGTGGAGCTGGGAGGGCTGTTTCCTCTGCTGCTCCCAGCCTGGCTTTGCTCCTGTGCCTGGGTTGGGTACTCATGGGGAGGTGTGAGCCACTGGGCCGACAGACCCTGCCCCAGGTTGCTGGTGCTGGGTGTCCAGCACTGGGCTGCTCCTCAGCCATGCCCTTGGGCTGCAGATATATAAACTTGATGTGTTAATTATGAGTGTGTTTCAGCAGCTTGTGGTGCTGTGTGGTCTGATGATTGGGGATTTAGGGTCCGGATAATGAAAAAAGGGAACATAAGAGCTATTTAGAGAGTCAAGATGATGTGCGATACTCTGAGCATGTATTTTCTATTTGAATTTATAGTTGTGGATATGCAAGACTTATAAAATATTTCTTTTATCAACTTCAAGAAATACTATGCTGACTGTTAGTGTACAAAAAAACCCACAAAATACAAACCTCAAAAAATTTTTTGTGCAACCAAGAAGAAAATAAGTAGAAAGCACTTTTAAATGGGCTTTGGTTATCCGTATTGTTTACACTTTTGGATTTTAGAAACTCAGCATTTTCTTCTTGACATCACTTCATACTTAGTTACCTTTGCTAACTTTGTTGCTATTTCTTGTCTTAAGCTATTTCGGCTAAATGTTGAGTTTACTTCCTTTGAGCTCTAGTGATGTGCACTAATGTATCTATGTATAAATTCCTACAGGTTCTTGCCATCTTTGCTTTTGCCACATGTGGAGGCTTTCAAGGTGAAACTGCTCTTCTAGTTTCCTGTGGAGGTGTGGTAAACAAAACAGTTACAGCTACTTTTGCTTATCCATTCAGGTGAGCATTAGCTCTTCAGTTACTACTTGATAATTACTTTTTATTCCCCTTTTCCCTATCTGCCTCATTATGTTCATATGCTTACTGTATGAGTGAAGATGTGAAACTTCTGGCTTGCTCTGTAGCAGCAATAAAATATTCAGTTGTAATCATTTAAAGAGCTGTATTTGTTAGTGCCTTATAGAAAGAAGTAGGTAGAAATGGCATTAGGCTGTTATGCTCTGTATTACTCTATTTTAAGCTCTAATCTAGCAGTGTATGAATGCTACAGAAAGTAATTAGTAAGACAAAAAACACAATCCATTTTAACAGCCTAATTCTTCATCAATTTGTAGGTGCTTTGGAGGCCCAGATAAGATTATTTTGAAAGTGCCGTTATCCTATTTTTGTTAAGACTGAATGGAAAGTTCTTTTCCATTTATTCCAGCATTATTTTGGTGAGGCTGTTGGACACAAAAAACCTGAATACTTTGGTGTCATTGCAGTGCTCTTGTATAGACAAGCTCCTTTCCTGGAGCAGGAGGAAGAAGGATTCCTCTTTGCTCTTGCAGCTGCACAACTATGAAGAGTTATGGCACATGCTCCATATGTGCTCAATAAATGTAATAACATAAAGAAATTAATTCGTTGGACAGCCAGTAAAACCCACTGCAACAGTATAGAACTTGGTCACAAAACCCAGTCTTGTTACAGAATTTGGAGGGGAGAGTAAGGATCTGAAATAATTCTGTGCTGGTCACAGAGTGGTCAGTGCTAATCACACAGCTTTATTTATTCAGCTTCAGTGGGTTTTGTAGCTATAATGCCTCTTAAGTCCTGATCACCTTGTTCAACTGCCAGTCTCTCAAGCAATGTTGCTAAATCTGCTTCTAAATTGGGATTTTTTTTGTTCAACCACTCTAAAAATGAAATTTAGGTTCTTCTCCTCAAGGCACTATTGTATATCTTAGTGTAGGATTGGATACAATCTTCAGATAGCTTCATGAATCTTTGTGTTGCATAAGTGATTATTTATATATTTATAGTGTATCTTTCAGAGTAAACTTACACAGTCAGAATGCTGAAGTGCTGTGGCTGTGAAGCATGGAGTATAATTAATGAAGTAAATTAAGCTCCCACTGTATAGCAAACTGACTACATGGATATAATCTTCACAGGTTGAATACTGTGGCATTTAGTGCACCAGACCCAAAAGGCTGTGGTGGTACTTGGACTGATGCCTACCTCATGGGCAACTTCTCCTCTTCTGCACAGTTCTTTGTTACCCTGGCAGCATTGGTATTCCTCTACTGTACTGCTGCCCTCGTGGTATATATTGGATATAACCACGTGTATCAGGAAAATAACAAGTTCCCACTAACTGTAAGTAGTACTAAGATATGTCAACGCTTTGACTTTGAAGCTGTAAAGAGATGAGAAATATTGCTAATGCAAGAATAATTGGTGAATATCCAGCAGTTACAAAAGTTAAATGGAGTGTGAACACAAGAATCTCAGGCTGGTCCCTACAGCACTTGAACAGAAAAGGGGACCCAAAGCCCTTGGCCATCTGTGGTATCACACCTTATGCAGTTATTGAAGAAACGGAATGAACTTTCACTTTTTCAGGCAAACACTATCTTCACTACAACTCTTCTTTGGTATCATGCAATAGAGTATACAATTGTTCCATAGATGGGACTGTTAATCTAAAATTTCTCTGTATAGAGCACCTGCTGCAATTGGCAGAGGAAATCGTTACATTGTGAATTTTAGTTGCCTTCAATATTGAAGCTCTGAATGAGAACTTTCATAACATGCTTAAAAATGGACTTAGTGACCTTTCAAACCAAATTTTAGCCTATCAGCCATCCAGATTTAAATCCTCTGCCCTTACCCATCACTCTCACTTAACTTGGGTTTAAATTATCATAAAATAGGTGCTAGACATCGGATTTTAGAAACAGATTTCTTGGGTTGAGATTGCCTTTTGCATCTATCGAGCACAAGTTTTGTGGCTGGTTATCAACACTGAGATGTAACTATAACATTGTTAATGATTAAATTTACTTGTGATTATTATCACTGGTGCAGTCATCTTGGTGATATAACTGCTACTGTCTCTGCCTTGCTCTCATGTATATTCCTGCCATTTTTTTTAACCTGTTAATGAGTACTTCTCTTGTGTAGGACTTGGCAATCAGTGTCTTGACAGCCTTTCTGTGGCTGGTCAGTACTTTTGTTTGGGCAAAGGCACTTGCTGACATCAAGGTGTCCACAGGAGCCAGCATTGTTCCAGGAATTGAATCTTGCAAAGCACCAGGAACAACTTGCCATTTTCTTTCTGTGACCAGCATGGGAGTTCTGAATGTGTCTGTGGTATGTATGCCTTCCACCACATGGGTACAATAAATGTGTTGGAAAACAACAAATGGTACCTGAGAGTCCTGTTCTACTGATTGCATGTGTTGCTCTGTGTTAAGATTTCTTTATGAGTTAATTGTCATTCAGGTCCATTATTACTGTGGTAAAACGCTGAGCAAATAATTTCTTGGAGGAAACAAATTTTCTTCTAAAGGGAATAAAGAGAAACATCTTGCAGGATCTGCCTATAGAGCTGTTACATGCAGCATTTCTAGACATATTTGAGTGTCTATTTATGCCTTTGTCCAAGAGCAACTTAAAATATCTTAGTGAACCACCCAAGTGATTTGGCTGATATAAGAGGAATTGCTGTGCTGGTACTGAACCTAGCTTTTTACTCAGCTGTGAGCATTTTTGCACATCAGATTGAGGTTCCTTGTAACATAATGGCATGAAGCTCATGTTCATACAAAGAACGCTTCATATCAGAGCAAATGAGGCTTATTGTATGATCTTCTTAGTGAATCCTACTTTCCAAAACTGTAGCTGTTATTCATTGCCCTAATAATAATCAGTCATTTGGTATGAGTGTATATGTAGGGGTGCTTAGTGATTGAAAATAATTTGTCTAATTCTGTACAAAGTATAGAGTAAGTTTGACTATCTGGTCTACAAAGAGCTCTGTTAAATAGCTAAAATATTTATGTTATTCTGAAGAGTTTGGAAATATTTTGCCCAAATGAAAGGGGTGCCAAAAATAGTGCTTGTTACTGTTTTGCCTTGAAAAGATATTTTGTCTTGTTTTAAAAAAAAACTAAAACAAAACTCAATCAAACAACACATTTAATAGTATATTTCCTCCCCCCCCTCCTTTTTTTTTTTTCTTTACCCTACAGGTGTTTGGCTTGACTAATATGATTTTATGGGCAGGAAATGTTTGGCTTGTATACAAGGAGACCAACTTGCACAACCAATGGAACAGAATTTCTGAAAGTCCCACTGAAAGAGTATAAAAACAAGTTGATATTTTGAAGTGCTTCCACTTTCACATCACACTGCCAGAAGCATGGACCCATTAGGATTCATTTCAGTAATAACTGATAATTCATACAAACTTCTATTTTGTACTATGTTTTGATGTAAGGTCTTGGGTACTCCAACTGAAATGTATAATTATCATGAAATATATTGTGTCTTTTCAAGACAATGCAGCTTTATATTATATTACAGTTTTTGAAGAGCAAAATGAAGATGTTATCTGGATGCTGACCCTTTCTGGTTCTTAAATTAGCCTTCTAGGAGGCATGGCTGAGAAGCAACTGTATCTGGGTTACTACTGCATCTTTTGTTCTGACAAATCTTCTCTGAAAAATTGGAAGTAAATTCACCCTGGGCAGGTGAAAATGCAGTTTAGTTTCTTCCTACCACTGATACCTTGCAAAAGTCACCCAAGTAGAATTCACAGCTCTGTCAAAGTTGCAGCCAAGATGTGTAGGCTTCCAGATGCTCCTTTCAGATCATTGTATCAGATCTGCTCTGGGCCTGTCAGGAAGGACATTACTTCTATGTTTAATATGTTGTTACTTCCCAATGGCCTGGGACAATCTCTAAACAAGGAAATTTGTTCAGTGAGTTCATAGCTTCTAGTCTCACTAATATGAGAGTTTGTATATGGGTGCAATAGATTATTTAAACACTTGAATGAGGTGGGGGAGGGAGGAAAAACAAAGTATGGCCCAAAACACAAATACTGTAGAAATCAAAGTCAATATATTCTGCTATTGCTTAGGTTTCTGTCTATTACTTTTGGAGTGCGTGAATGAAGTCTGTGTGTGAAAGGAAGTAGAGGGTGATGTCTGAATATGACAAATTCTTCACTGATGTTGTTCAGCTTGTTCTTTGGGAATGATATTTGGGTCTTCTCATGTGGACTTCTTTATTCATGTGTCTGACTCCCTGTGAATTGCCCAGAACAAATGTTTTGACAAACTTAATACAAAGGCTATTCGGTCCTTTTTTGTTTAAACTATTTGTGATTAAAATAGACATACTAGTGTGTATATAAGGCAAATTGTAATTGTTTGGTGTGCCAGAGCTATTGACCTTCTGAGAGTAAACTGTAGTGTCAAAGAGTATAATAAAGTCAGTATGACTGCTGCTGAAAGCACGTGCCTTGGGTCCTTACTGCTGTAGCAGTGGATGCAAATGGATTTGCTTTGGAGCTTCTGGGGCATGGCTTTAGCTGTGGCTGCCCCTCTTGGCAGGAGGGGCTTTTACACTGGGGCCCTGTGGGGTTTTTTGCAAAGAGAGCTATGTATCACTCCTGCAGGCTAGTGCTGCTCAGCACTTCTTCCTGTCAGTTCAGAGCAGGGGTTTTGTAACTTGTAACTATCCAGAATTTCATTTGAAATGCCATTAGGAAAAGGTAATAAGGGCAATTTTTGCTTGTTTGTATTACTGTGCAGGTTTATTTATTTAAAAAAGATGTATTTCATCCTAAATTGTGAAACTCCTATTTTCATGTTGTCCAAGAAAAAAAGCAGTAATTATACATTCAGTTTTTCAGTATCTGGGATTTAAGGCTACATATGATGTGGCTAAAATATTTTATTAACCTTTAGTATTTTCAACAGAGCTATGCTCCTGCCTATTTCTTATGTGCTTATCTGCTTTGGCAACAAACATGAGGTCTGTTTGTGACAATGTTAGTCATTGGCATGGCCTAGTACTAAAATGGCAATAGTGAGTATTTTTGCACACATGAGAGCTGTAATGGATTACATCAGTATAGGCCTTATATTATTGATGGCTGAGGTCTAGCCAACAAGTGAAACAGAGTTGGAAAACTTAGCACAGTAACTGATTGTTTCAACAAAAACTCAGATTTCATACTCGCTGAAAAAATATCCCTTGTTTCCTTAAGGCTGAAACTTAATCTTGTGCTTTGTGTAGAAGAAACAAGTGTGTCCCATCCCCAGAGTGCTTTCCTTCAAAAGATAAGGAGATGGTATGTGACAGGCAGGACTATAGCTGGTAATATAGAGATTCACAAATAAGGGATTATGTATGTACAAATTCGGGCTGCATGTGTGTCTGTTCCACAGAGCTAGGTGAAGAGCCAGGTTGCTGTTAAGAGGCCAAGGTAAGTGTGATATGTAATCCACAGCAAGCAAGATTTTTAAAAAAGGAAAAGTAACACCACGTGCACTTCTGGCTCATTAGGATAAAGCTCGTTTCCCTTTGCAGGGGGGAGGGACTGATGCAGAATACTGCAGGCTTTGAAGGCTGCTGGGGTCCTGCAGCTGAGATGAAATGGAAAGCATCATGCAGCAGGGGCAAGCAGCTGCTCTTGTTTACCCTGAACACCCACAAAGGGCTGAGCAGCCTCTGCCTTTGAATTAACATCATATTTGTGCTGGCAGCACCAAAACATTGTGTCTTATTTACTCGTGGTGGGGCAGGGGATGGCTGTCTGAGTTACCAGCTTTATCTTGAGTGCACAAGAATCACCACTGCTATCAGGAGATGCAGTGTACTTGAGCCCTCTGTACTCAGGGAACAAAGAGCCTGGAACTCTGCCAGCTCTCTACAGGTTTGTAATCCTCAGCTGGCAGCAATTATACTTGCAGCCATCAGTGGAGCAAGCTCATAAAAATCCTCTCATACTGCAGGAATTATTCTGGTAGCAGGCTATAGTTATGCACTAGCAAGTCAAGTGCTGTATGATCCCTGGTGTGAAGCTAGGGAGGGGATTTTGATCAGAAGCCCACAGTGGGGAGAAAGGTTGTAAGGTGATGGTGAAGGAAAATAACTGTGAGGGGTCAGCATGGGATAACAACAGGGAACTCCTTAGTGAAGAATAGAATCCATTAGCATTAGGAGGTGTTTAAGCAAGCAAGTACACTGTGATTTAGGCTGCTGTGACCAGTGATCTGGGGCTCAGGCCTCTGTGACAATGCTGAGCAGTGTATATTCTGCCTGTACAAACTCCTGGGAGCGTTCCTGCCATGGGAGGTGGCATGGTGTCAGTGTTGGTAGAGAGCTTTGCCACCAGCCTGCAGGAAAAGCAGTAGGAAATTAAATCCAAGAGAGGCCTGGCAATGTCAAATCTCCAAGAGCCAGTGCCAAAAGTGCAGAATGGAATCACTTTGGGGACTGGACCACTTTGGCCCTGTCGCCTCAGCAAGCAAACCCATCTGCAGCACAGGCTGGGGCTGGGACACTGAAACACCAGCTGACATGCCAGCACCATTGCCAGAATTGACTGTACTGGAGCCAAACAGTGCCTTGTGATGGGTGGGGAATTCCTCATGGCTCTGGCTCTGCTACACACTTGGCTAGCACTGGAAGACATGGGTGTGGGGCTGCCACTGAAGGCAAGAAAGAAAACAGATGCCACCTTGATGTGAAGAGCTGTGAGACTGTGGGTTCATCACCTGCTCATGCACACAGGGTCGCTGCAGCCTGTTCATTTTTCCCGATTGCCTAGAACTGAGCAGCACACAAAGCTGGGGCAATGCTGTGCTGGTTTGGCTGCCTGCCCTACTGCAAACTCCTGGGGAGCTGGTAGGGTACCTCACTCCTGGAAACTGCCTGAAGACAGTCCCTCATGCTTCTACAAAGGCCCCACTCTTGAGCAAGTTGTGACAGCACATCAATTATTCTGGATCACCATGGATTGTCTACTTCTCTTCTTGTGGGAGCACTTAGCATGTGTTCATTCCAAACAGATTTGCTGTATTGCCTAAAGCAAAACTGTTGTCACAAAGACCGGAGTCAGAAGCAAGACTTTGCTGCTTAATCACCTTGAAATACTAAGCTGAATAATTAGTCAAAAGAATGGTACAGGCTAGGAGTGCATCCCCATCCCTTAAATATTAGGGAATGAGGGCATTTTCTTCAAATTTAAGATCTAGTCCCTGTATATTAGCAACACTCCAGAGCTGCATTTTAGAGACTGACTCAAATGTGGAATTCCCTTCTGTCATGTCAAATGAATCCCTTATAAACATTGCTTTCCTACAGAACTATGTATTTAGAGCAGGGAGAAGAAATTAAAATATTAGCCTTGTGTTTTTACAAGTTTTCCTTTTAATTTTCAGTTGTGACTTCCAAAAATTTGCCTGTACTCAGTAGCATTCTTCCTGTCTGGATCTTTCATTTTTCATCCTGAGATAGGAACGCAGCAAGATAGAGTTCTGCGGTGCTATCCTGAAAATTTGTGGCCACACGGCCACAGTCAAAGATTTTGCCCTTTGTTTCAGGGCAAGCACTTGAGGGGCTAAGGCAATATGTGCCAACCCTGACCATGTTTTTCTTTCATTCTATATTTGAGGAAATCTTATTCTCTGTTATCCATGTTTTCAGTTAATGTTTCACTGTGAGTTCTGCTTGGCTGACATGGGAATGTTCCCTCAGGTTTTTTTTTCCCCTTGCCTCCTGGACAAAACCCATAATACTCAGAGTGTTCTTCTAACTCTCGAAGTAGGTTCCCTCTCATTCTGCTACATCAGTGTTTGTTGTAAACAGGAGAGTTGATTTTGGACAGCTGGTTCTCATAATCCATGAATCCCATGGCACCTGATTGATTGATTGCTGTTGCTGCCAGGAGATTGTACCTGCTGCTTGCAGGTACCTGTGTCCTATCAGCAAAGGGTGGTTTGTACTTGCCATTACAGCCTGTCAAAAACTGAGCAACTCCTCATTTATTCATAAAACTTGCTCTGTCTTTTTTTGGCTTGTGACTTCATGTTATCACTGCCAGCTGCATTTCCTCCTTACCTGTCTGTGCAGCCTTTTGGCTTAATGCAGTCTGGGAGGAGGCTGTCTGCTGTTATTTAACTCACAGTCTGGGTAAAAACTGGTATTAACACAAGCTTTAATCAACTCACCTGTTTGGTTTCAATTTAATTTGAAGTTTGAGATAGCCTGCACTCAGATCTAGAGTTGTTGCCTTCTGTGGCCTAAGATCAGCAGATGAATCCCGTGGGTTATTTCTTGTCATGTAAAGCAGTAGTCATTTCATATGC